AAACGTAAAAACACCCATTCTCACGCGCACGCGTGAGTTTGGCCGATTTCCGGTCTAACTCACGTACGTGAGAATTACGTGAGCATGGTCATTTTTTGGCATTTTAAATACCTGCAGATATGGACTAGATTGTTCATGCCACCCTCCCTACCTCTCCCACATAAAATACACTAATGTGCAAATCCTTACAAAAATTGCCCTCCCCCCAAATTGTTCCAGGATGCGAAATGAAACAATTATTTTGGACGATAGTGTGCACAGGTCAAATCAAATATTTCAGTTTTATTATTGCTATTATGACATGAGGGCTGAAACTTCAGTATTTTGAGAAAATCCAATTTTAAGACCCACATTTCTAAAATGCCTTGGATTAATGGAAATTGTCAAGTAAGTACTGAAGGACATAAAGGCATTCAGATTCGGCATAACAAGACAATTGCCTCCATGAATTTTGACTTTACCATCAACATTGGATGCCAATCTTGGGTGTCACCAACTAATTTTTATGTTTTGTTGGCTTTTTGCCATTTAAAACCTGAGTGATTCCTCATGTACTGTACATGAGTTTTAAATTTTGAGTTGTAACAAATTGGCTTATGTATTATTAGTTTCGCAGTGATTGAAATTAAAAATTAAAGTTGCCTTTCTATTGGACTGGTTGGAGAATATAAGCACCTGTTCTAATACATGTACCTGCAGGCCTTAGCAAGATAAATTACAACAATTAGAAATAAAATTCTCATTTCATAAGTCATACAAAAAGTAGTTTTTCAGCCATTATAACTTGTGACTACTCTATTTGGTCAGTTACCAGTAAGTAAAAATATGGTGTCTTTATTCACCTGTTCACAGGGACAGGCAATTTGTACATGTACCTGTCCCAGCTAAAAATATCCTGACCCGGACAGTTCATAAGTTTAGCATTCATGTCAATTACTTTAACTCATAAATTTATGTACAATTATTCGGAAGCAAATTTAATATCAATGTTGATTGCTGATTGGACATACAATTTGTGACTTAATCAAGATGTGTTTGTAGTATACACTGTACATGTAGTGACATCTGAGCTGTAATCTCTGTGATTGGTTGAATCATAATCAAATGGTTTTTTAGTTACCGTTAAAGTTAAAGCCAAGATTTTTAAATGCAAACTGGAGAATGCAAATAGTTGAAAGCATAAGTAGCAACGCCTGCCAAAAATGAAAGCTTTCAACAGTATTATGCACTTTGTACATATACATTGTACCATGTGTCTTGTTAGGGCGGTTGAATGTTCAGATCAATTTATAAACCTTAGTCATATTAATAATCATGAAATAATGCGGAAAATAATCAAATCTTTATTTAAATTTACAGGAGCGTGTTTACTAGAGCTCTTACCACCCCAAGATGAGCTATATCTGCCTCCGGAACCTAATAGTGATAAACCAGGTAAAAGAGGTAAATTTTATCATGATTTAGACTTTTGTCCCTGTACTGGTGATAAACGCAGCAAATTATCAGTTATTTCCCTCTTTCATCTATACTTGTCTCTACTATGACCAGTTCATAATTTTTTAAAGTTTTTGAACTGTTGTTGTCTAGGCCAAATAAAATAATATGTGTGGTACTGCAAACCCTACCCTACTTTTCTAAAATGATGCTAAATAACACAAAATTTCAATGAAAGTTGAATAACACCATTATCCAGTATTTTGGGCAAATTAATAGACTTAACTGTAAACATCATTGAACATGAGATTAATCAGCAAGCTAGTGCAAAGAAAAATGTGTGATAAAAGAAGCAAAAAACAAAAATTAAAATGTACTACCCTACCTGTGTTTCAAATGCATGTTATCAGAACCATGTAATTTTGCTTGCCCTATGAAAAGGTGGAACAAAAAGTTGGTGAGTGGAGCAACTCTTACTTCACTATCTTTTTCACAGCATGTACCAATAGATTT